ATATATATATATGTGTGTATGCATATCTGTATACACACTTACATATATACTAAAGATATAGAGATGCATGTGTATGTGTATATATATATATATTTATATTTAAAGCTAGTTACGTAGGATGCTGCTTCGTGTTGAGTGTTTTTGCGTTTGGACACCCCAGGAAGGCCGGCGGAAGGGCAACTGGAGAAGGCAAAGGCAACACACAGGCAAAATAGCAGCAGACCTACTGCAACACAGAAAGCGAAACCAAGTGAATCGCCGGCCCCCCAAAATGCTCGTTTGTTGCTATCTGGCCGCTTGCCTGCTCCAGAATCGACGCTGTTTTGCTTCCTGTCCCTTACCAGTTCCAGTCTTTCCGGCTACCTATTTTGCCTTTTGTGGATTTACCAGAGCTTTTGAGCTTTGCATCTTAGGCTTGCACCAGCTCTGGGGCAGTGTAGGGCCCTAAACCCTACACCACACATCCTAGAGCAAAGTATCTTCCAGGGCACTGCCAACGCTATTTGTGTGCACGGACGTCGTGACATCGCTGCGGGCCGCTTTTTCGAAGCGCATTAGGTTTTTGACATTGCTTCACCATTCTAGGCAGGGATTCGGAAGGTGGTGCTAGCTTTACTAGAGTCGAGGTTTGCTAGAGTTGAGTGAGGTTCGAGTTCAACCCGTAGTTTAGGTTTCAGTAGGGTTTAGGGTCTTAGAGGGTCTTTGCTGCAGGCCCTGGGCCGCAGTAGGCCCCAAAGCCACCTCTTTCTCCGAAGCGAAGCATTAATGCCGCACGACCCGTTTCAATCAACCCCAAAACCTCTCAAGGTTGTAGCGGCCTTTTCCCGCGAGGGCCGATGGTCCCGTGCTCTGGGTGCCTCAAAGCCAATTTATTGCCAAGATTTGCAGGATTAGACGTGGACTTGGCGGCTGACTCACATGCTACTTATGCTTCGGAATGCTTCGGAGCTTTCCGGGTTTCGGGTGCGGGATTTCAGGTCTTGAGGGATTAGGAGCTTGAAGGGTTTCGTCTTCTTAGGTGTGGCGAGACTCGTTCGGGCGGGCTTTCCGCTTCCAGTCTGTGTTCGCACCGGTGAGTAGCTGTATATAAGTGTCATACCTGCAGTCATACTGGGATGAGCAGTTAGAACAGGGTTTCAGCCATAATTTGCTGCAGTTGTCATATTCCGTGGATGGAACAAGCTGCCCAAAGCACGATAGCATTTTTTGACATCTGCAACTCCTGCAACCTCGCATGCCTGAAAATCTGGAAGTCCTGAAGTTAGTGCTCCAGATAATAGATAGAAAGTATCGAAGGCCGCAATGCCAAATCGTAGACGCCCTGCATCCGAAACTCCCAACCCCAACTCGCCGAAACGAGTCAATCCAAAAGCCTGAATAACCCTGAATACGCGAGTATTCCTGTAACCGCAGGTCAAGCCTAGACCCTCAAACCGACACCACGAAGCTCCAAGCACCGGAAGTACCCAGGAGCCAAAGCCACCGTAGAGTTCCTGTCGTGTTCCGCCAGAGACCTCCTAGGGTTTCGGAACCCTTCGGCCCCTCGGGTGTTGTGCAGCTCAGGCATCATGTCCTCGGCGCGCCCCTTCGCTTTTCAACCAAATGTCCGGGCCCCAGCTTTTGCCAGGCCTGGGATTTGGTAGGGCTGTGTTCGGCAAAAGGGACTAGACGTGACTAGACCAGTCGGCTCCGACAGGTTGTGAGATCTTGGCAAGCTCACGTAAACATGAATTTCCTGGCAGGGCCAGATTTTGTCAACACTGTTTCGAACGTCGTGCACCACGAACGGGTACCTTCGGACAGATTTCACTGCTCCGAATGCTACACAGCCCCGAAACCCCATCCAGCAGAAAGGTGCCTGAGTCATCTTTGCCTTTGACATGGGAATTGGAATCGTTCTCTCTCCTACCTTACATCTTTCCCTGCACGGTATGTGCGAATTTTCACGGCAACCTCTGAATCGATCCCAGATCCATAAACCACCCCTTGCAGCTTCGAGCCCCCACCCGCGCCCAACAAAAAAACAAGATAGCCCCAGCGTCCCGCGGCCCTGGCTCGGCCTCAGACCCAACTCTTCCGTCTGCCAGGTTTTAAGCGCCGGCATCGGCGCCACTCCTTGGGCGGCTGCGCTGGCGGTGCTAGCGACCGCGGCAGGGGCAGGCAGTTCGGGGTCGAGTTTCGGGGCGTAGCTCAGAAAGTCTTGGCTTTTGGGCTGGGCAGAGGCCACTCAGCTTCCAGCTTCGCGGGAGAACCCTGGCTCAGTCTAAAGTCCAGGCTGAACTAAACTTCACTCTGCAGGGCGCAGTCTGAAATCGCCCGCAGAGAATCAGCTCCTCTTCTCTGTCACTCTGTCAGCCGCCGCAGACCTCTCCGACGGGTTGGGTAAGGCTTGCTCTGACTCGAGCTTGAAAGCGTGCTGGGGTTTGGGGGCTTGAGAAACACGGTCAGAAACATGTCAGACGCATGCACGGGGGTTTCGTCCAAGGCGCTCGTTGAGGCAGTGGGTGTAGACTTCGCTCTGGCTGGGAGGTTCCGGCTTAGATTGATTTCAGGGCTTCGTCTTGGGTTTGAGCAGTCAAGTTTCAAATATTTTGCACCTTGCTATTTAGATATCTGATGCTGATGTTGGACGTGTGAAGCAGCTGGAGCGTTTGTTTTATGCTGGAATGTAGACTTTGGGCAGGCTTCTGCAGCCCGTCTGTCGAAACTCCCACGATCTATCGCCACCGACTTTGGCACAGGGTCCCCATAAGGTTCCTGCACGCACACTCCCCTCCGCCCTTTCTGGCGTTCACGGCGCTGCAGACTCCATCGACTGTTTTTACCACCTCAACACGTTCAGGGTCAAGGTTAGGGCTTTGAGGGGTAAGCGCCCTGTACCGTGACACCTACACTTCCCTCCAAAACCCCTAAACCCTACTCGTACCCCCCCCCTCCGCCCCCCCAAAAAAGAGGGTGCCAAACATCGCAAAACCTTGTGTGTGGAAAAACTGGGCCACCACAGCGTTCCTTTCTGCAAAAAAACAACAAAACACGCAGGTGTCCTTGTGGATCATGTGTGCGTTAACGCTGCCGTGACCGCTCTTGCTGCCGGAGGCCAGGCCCAAGACCCGGAAGCTCACTATACTATACGATACTAGTACTATACCATGCTATACTATTCTATACTTTTTATGATGCTATTTTACAGTGCATTATAATATGATATGACACCATAATACACTAGAATATCGTATACGATAATATAGTCGACTATAATATCATATAGCATAATAATTTAATAATAATGCATTATTGCGAAGAGCACACGGGCCACAGGCTTCGCATTCTGTGCCTAAACAGACCCGAAGACTAGAACGAACGTCGCTGTATGCTCTTTAAAACACATTTTCCTCCCTGTCAAGCTCTGGTCAACTCGGCTTCCATCATGAAACCTTCGGACTGGGCGCCAAAGAAATCGTTCTAGACTGTTCTGCGGAACATACATCCCGGGATTGTAAAGTATATCAGGATTATTATTTGTGTAGGCATTGCTATTGTTATCTAGTGCCAAAAGGGTTGGCAAACTAAATCTCAAGAAGAACATTGACACTGAATCTCTGTTCCTAACCCCAACCCCAATCCCAATTCTTGTTCACAGATTCCCCTCCTAAATCACAGCACCTCAAGTGTAGCCTTAAACACTAGATCGATCCGACCCCCAAACACCACGCCCTAAATCTCAAGCCCCAGGAGTCTGGCAGCGAGCTGTGGATTTTTTAAGGTGCCAGCATGGATGTAGGGAGTAGGACCTTGGGTTAAGTCATAGATTAGTAATGTCAATAGCAAGTTAGGGAGGGTTTAGGGTTTGACTTAGGTTTGGGGCTGGCTGGTGTGGTGCTATTTTGGGTTGGGTAGTGAAGAGTTCATGGGGCTTGAGTGAAGGTCTGGAAGTTCAGTGCTTAGGGCATTGCTGTTCGATTCAACGGTGCAGGTTTGGCTGCAGGGGTTTGGGGCAACAGACTTTCCGAACTATTTCAGAAGGGTAAGTTGCTGTTTCAGGTTCCCCAGAATGAAATTTGCGCATTTCATCCAACTTGAATCAAGTTAGGCAGTTCTGAAACTATTGCTGGGTTAGGTGCTTTGACATGTTAAATGCGGCTCCAGTCAAGTGCCGTATTTCATCCCTGAGCTTGGCTGGGGCGTTCAATTGACTCAGTTTCGAATCTCGCCTCGGATCCAGCATGAAAAGCTCCAGCTGCGGGAAACTTGGCCCAAAACTGGGCCAGGTGTTTGATCCGAGTGATAGCCTGACCTTCTCCTTCTACCCTGCTCCTCCTAGGCAAGGTTGGGACACCAAAAGAAGCATGGATAACGGGTTGGGCGCGGTGTGTGTGCATGTGTCTGTGTGTGTGGGTGCAGGCATGCATTCGTGCATGCATATCGGTAGGTAGGTAGGTAGGTGGGTGGGTGGGTGGGTGGGTGGGTGGGTGGGTGGGTGGGTGAGTAGGTGGGTAGGTGGGGGGTAGGTGGGGGGTAGGTGGGTAGGTGGGTAGGTGGGTAGGTGGGTAGGTGGGTAGGTGGGTAGTTTGGTAGGTGGGTAGGTAGTAGGTAGGTAGCAGGTAGGCAGGCAGGCAGGCAGGCAGGCAGGTAGGTAGGTAGGTAGTTCCGTCGGTGGGTGGGTGGGTGGGTGGGTGGGTGGGTGGTATAAGAGCATCGCAATTTGCACATATATGTATGTTTATAGGCATAGAAACACATACATCAATTCCTAGATAGCGGTAGTTTGTTTCTGTGCGTTCTGTGTATTGACATGCATGACTGTCTTTCGCTGCTTATCCGCTGCTTATCCACAAATACATGGTTAGGTAGTTTGCACATGACACAATTCTCAATTCTGTGTCTGTCTTTCACAGATCGACCGATGTGTCGATATGCCTGTGGTGTAACAATGCAGATGTAGATCTTGCAGCTGGCCTAAAATTTTCGCAGCACGACACAGGCCCAAAGGGCACGCTCGACACTCACCAAATCTTACCTTGCATTGCACACTAGGCCATGAACCCCTCCCAAGCTTCCAGCCCTGAATGCAGGGACGCGCTTGCCTCCAACATGGTGCGCTTCTAGGCACCGATGAGCTCTGCATGTTGGTAAGTGATGAGTCTGATGTTGGTCGGAAAGACAACATGCAACCATCATGTTGGTGACAGCGGTAGTTGTAAACAAGATACGGACATTTCTAGTATCACAACTGCAGAAGCAGCTGTTTCAATAGCAACAGCATGGCGCTGATTGTTTCAGCGGTCGCAGTTGGATGTTGGACAACTGTGGTCCGCCACTTCATGGTGAGGGTGGCAGCATCTACCGTAAGCCCCAAACCAGGGTTTATGGCTGGGTGTACCCAGGTTTCAGCACTGCCATTGCGGCTTGCGATGCATCCGGGCACTGGGCTGTCGCAATGCGGATCTGGGCGGCGATGCGCTGCAGGCGGCTTTGGGCGTTGGGCACTCTCTTTCGGATTTGGGACATGCTGCAGGCTCATAGACTTGGCAGGACGGTTCGAGAATATAGTGGTGAAGTTGGGAAGCTGCGATAAGATTCGAAGTTTTGAAGGAACAGTGTGGAAGCAGTTGTCGTTATAGTAGCAAAACTGGTAGCCGTAGTCTGGCTCGCGTCGTCGTCGCAGCTAGCCTCGTTCTTGCTTTGTTCCTGGTGCTTGTTGTTTGTGTTGCAGTCCTTGCGGTGGTGGTTGGTCTCGTCACCACCAGGATCATAATCATAATAGTGAGTCGTCATCTTCTTGGGCATCATCAGCAGCATCATTGTTTTGGTCAATGTGGTTGCCGCTGTTGCATGCTCTTCTTATGGTCGTGGGTGGGCCTGCAGTTGGTTCGCTCTTTCTTGTTTCCCTGCTGAATGGTGGCCAGTGTTATGCTTGATGGTCGGCTGGATTTGTTTATCAGCCGACGGGGGACCAAAAGTCGGGCCGTTTAGCCGGAACGGTCTGTTCGGGTCGAAGCAGAACCTTGCAATTCGGTGCTTCTTGTGGGGCACAGAGACACCAGGCGCTCTGATTGCGACACCATCGGCATGAGCCTTGGCACCTTGCGGTACGCTGCACCATGTCTTGGCTGTTGGTTCGAATGTACTGCCGCCACAGTTGCCTGAGTGCCATGATTGCTGCCTATGCTATTCGCATCTTGTTGCACGACTATGACTTGCAGCTCAGAATTACAAACACTGCTCTCCTGGTATCAGGTTGTCAAAAGCATGTGCATGTGCATGTGTACAGTACCAGTGCTAGTCTGCTAGTCCTCCCATGAAACATGGTCAACAGATGGCTAATGTCATTGCCGCTATCTATTGCCATTTCTTTTGTTGCTTGCTAAGCTTGCTGAGGAGTAGCACTACAAGTGATGATTGGAATTGCTGTTCTAGTATGTTTACAGTCCTGTTTGCCGTGTTACCGTTAAGTCTATGGACGCTGTTTCGCTCCGGCTCTACTGGTGTTATGTAGGTTCGTTCCTAACCGTGGCATCGGCGTTATTCGGTCGTAGATGGTCATGGATATAACTTCTTATGGCCACAATGTACTGTTTGAATCTGGGGGTTGTTGTGCTGGGTGTTTATTATACTAGGGGTATTCTGTAAGTTCTATATATGGCAGTTTATATTCCGAAACTCATGTTTTACCAACAAGCAGATGCAGAAATCTAGATTGCAGGCCCTAACATAAAATCAAACAGCGGAATTTCTTCTGACTTATCACACTATACCATCAGGCCAAGAAGCCTTGAAGTATCCAACTTCAAAGCTCTGGGCTGCTACAGCAGCAACGTCTGAAACTCAACCCTCAGCGTAAAACTGGGCGACGACATGGAGGGTTTCCAACCTCCCTGCAACTCCCGCGCCCTTATCTGGCCGAAGTGAAATCCGGAAAGAAGCCTCAGGTTCGGGTTTGGGGGGGGGGGGGGGGGCAGGGCTTGCTTCCACTTCTTGCTCAATGAGGTTTTCGTGCAATGAGGGTGAACCGGTGAACCCAAGTCCTGTCAGCCCCTTCTTTCAGACTCAAGGCTGTAAGTCGTTAAAGTCCACGAGAGGACTTTGCTTCAAGAAGCCGGCAACAGTCCGGCAACACAGAGTAAACCTCTAGCATCCAGCAAACTCAGCGTGGGGGCACGTGTACATGTGTGTGTGTGTATATATACTATGCATAGACGTGCAGTTAGTTCTGGTCTCTGTGGGCGGGTCTGTGTGCGTGCGTTTTCCGTTCCCTTGCATGCATATCTGGCTTGAGGTGAACCCCAAACCTTTGACTTAAACCCTAAGTGCCCTAGGAGTTCAGGAAATGACCGTTGCTCTTAGACTGCTCTAAGATCTCCACCATTCCGGAGCCGTTTGCTTGAGAATAGTTAGTAGTTGCAGTACCTACCATCTCAGAGTCCTCGCAATCTCATCCTGCTATACTATGCCCAAAACCTTATTCTTAATTCCTAAAGCCCCTACGAAGCTACTTGTAGGGCTACAGGGGTAAAGTTTGGGGTTACAGGGTTTAGGGTTACAGGGGTTTAGGGTCAAAGGAACAGCCTCGTCAGCAGCTGCTCCCAGCGCTGGCGCTGGCCTTTGAAGCTCCTGGGCGTCGGGGAGGCGGCAAGGACCACCGACGACCGGGATGCCAAGTCTTACGGTTTTAGGGTGTAGGGGTTTGCGGGCTTTAGGTTTCTGGTTTTTAGGGCTTCAGGTCTTTCTTTGAAGTGGTGTTGTCGTTCTTGCCTGTTTAGGGATGACGGAGTTCCTTCCGTTGTAGTCGGGTTCAGGATTTAACTTTAGCTCGTCGCATGACTTGAGACTCGCTTCAGCGACAGCCCGCTTCCTGGGAAGTTGGCACTGTTTGTGCGGCGCAGGGGCTCGGCTCTAGGGTTTAGGTGAAGTCCTGGGAAATCTTGTTTGTTAAGTTTGGTTTTTACTAGTAGTATCGTGCAGTTTTGAGACACGCCCAAGAACAGCCCAGTTCTTTTTACGCGATGCCATTTGGTGCGTTGTTTTACATTCTCCACGTGTTCGAGTGAGGATCCGCCGAGACGTCGTGAGTTTCAGCTCGGCGATCCGTCGCTTAGATCTGAAATCCGGTTTGAGAATCAAGGCTCTATAGCGTTTAGGGTTTAGGGCTCTACTCTCTCATTGGTTTCCTAAGAGTTTCTCATCCTTTGAGACGGCTTGGGGATCCTCATTGTTGCATAGCTGATATCCGAAAAGACTTGTCCCAAAGCCAAAGCTTCGGGCCGGGTTCCGCTTCGAGTTGCTGCTCGGACCCGAGCCTTTACCCGAAGCAGAAGATGGTCTTCAAAAAACGAAGGAGCAAAAGGCATCGCATTGATCGCCAAGAAATCTTTCCGAGACAAAGAACCGGTGATGCGAACGCACATGCAAGTCTTGACTGTTCGAAAAGCTGAAAAGCTGTGTAGTGGTTGCCAACAAGACAACGGAGGCGCTTCTGCAAATTTCGACAACACTGCCGATGTGTTGACCACTCCTACACCTACTTACTACTCATTCGTCCACTCCTGGTCCACGCTCCTATTACTCTCACTACCACTACCACTACCACTACTAGTGCAAAACGGCGACGAAGACTGCGACGACGAGTACATCTACTTCTACCATTACCACCACGACTACCATGACGACGTCGACTGCCGTTTCGACAATTGCATGTGTGTACATGCATATGTTAGAGCACACAGATGAGTGCCCAGTGGCGATCGCATTCAAAGGTTGGTAGTAGAAGCGGTAGTGGTCGTATTCGCAGAGGCAGACACATGTATATGCCGTTCACAAGGCTGTAATGATCTCCGAGACGAGAGGCAGAGTTATTGTTCAGCATCGAAGCATGGGCATGGCAATAGCCATAAGCATCGGAAGCCAGCCTGAAACCCGGAAGCTAAATCCTACAGTCCGAAACCTCGAAGCCTCAACCCAACGCCCGAGAAGCCAAAGGTGGCCTGCAGGGATCTCAAAAGTGGGACCAAGCTGCGGAGCTGCTGGTGCGCATGGCGCAGCTAGAGGCCACGACCGGTTTTGGATATGAGGGTTTAGGGTTCCGGAGGCTACTGTTTGCGCATCTGAGAGTCTGACAGCTTTGGACGACAAAGGAGCTAAAGCAATACAATACAAAGCACATGGGGCGATAGCTATGTTGCCTTGAGCGATTGCTAAGCTCCACTACAGACAGATTCTTGTTGCGGGCCGACGCATGGTGTTCGTGGTTTAGGCTTTGGGTTAGGGTGTAGGGCTCAGGAGCGCTGAGCCAAAGCCTCCCAAAGCCGGCAAGTTGCCAAATCCGGGGGACCTTTGCAGCCCTTCGGGGCCCCTGCTGAGAACCTGTTGGGACCTTGCACGATTCCTCGACACCCCGATGAAGCTGTACATCCAGCCCGAAATCTCGAGGTGCCACCAAACCTGGTGACACGAAATGTCGCGCTGGCTGCGCAGGGGAGTCGAGGCCGGCGGCTTCGATTTTGGAGGCTCATGGCTTTGGGCTTCACCGCCTTCACAATCCCTGCTGTCAGCGCATGACTTAACGTGGAGTTGAGGCTTGGATGGTTCTGGCTTGATTAGTCGTAGTCGTCGCCGCCGGGTGGTGTGCAGGAGGTGGTGATGGTGGCGGCAGTGGTGGTGGCGGTGTTCGCGGCAGTAGTCGTCGTCGTAGTGGAGTAGTCGTTGCTGTAGTCGTAAAGAATTACCGCTAGCAGCAGCAGCAGCAGCAGCGGCAGTGGCAGCACTGGCAGACATGACAAAGTACTATGTACAGGCCGTAGGCCCATAACTCATGCAAGACGATTCTCGATTCCCCCAGGCGACTGGCAAAAATCCCTGTGGCTGTTGGCGGAGTCGAAAGGCACCAGCAGCAAGATTACGGTTCAGTCTAGCCTACTACGGACCCCGCATTCTAGAACAACGCCCATGCACCTTGAAAGGTTAAAACGTGGTTACATACTTGTCGGGTGCCTCTGGCTAGGTTAACGCACACGCTTCGACCCAACTGACCAGGCTTCCCTCGATGTGTGAGCAGCAGTTCTTTGAGTTTCGCGTTTAATGTTTCTGATAATTGAGCCGGCGAGGCCTGGAATCCAAAATCAATGTCGACATGTTATGTTATGTTATGTTATGTTATGTTATGAGTCCTTGACGAGTCATTGCAACTCACTAAGTAGAAAGCTTAATTAAGCCTCCCCTAGCTGCTATTGCTGAAGCGACTCCCTGAATCTGGCGGATACAAGGGGAAGTCAGCTATCGGGCAGCCATCGACCTCTGTGATCTGGAGGGCCAGGCCCGAGAGTAGTTCCCAACCATTCCGTCGGTTTGGGGTTTGGGGTTACTGGGTTTGGAGTTAGGGACCATGGGCTTATGGGTTTAAGGCTCACTGCTTGCTTGAAACTGCATGCCTTTGGAGACGTAAACAGAAAACTGCAAGAGAATTCAATTCGAGCTGGAGCCCTCTCTGAGGTTCCGGGTTTGGGGCTTCGTTTCCGCCTGAAGCTCAATCCGACTCAATCCTGTCGAGCTCTGGCATCTAAAAAACACAGGCTCCTTGCTTTTGACATCTTCTGGGTGCAGACTGTTGCAAAAGAATTTCCTTGCGAAGGTAGTCTGAGTTCTCAACCCTAAACCCTCAACCGTGGCCACGGTGGCGCTCCAGGGGGAGCAAGCCCGGGTGCTCCTCAACGAGGCACATGTCTCAGGCAGGGTGGCGGGTCTGACTTGGCAGGAGTTGCTGCCGGTTTCTACGGAGTCTTGAAGCAGGCTGTTCTATAGCCAATCGAAATGCTTCGTGCAATTAAGGGCATTTCTTCGTGGTGCGCCCGTCTAGACTAATGTCAGAGTGCTGTAGGCCTTCCTATCCGGCATTATCTCACCAAAAGCCAGACAAAAGTCATCAACACTGAAAAAGGCAGGAATAGGAAGACTTGAAGCCTCGGGCCTTGCAGGAGGACGACCCCCCCCATCCGCCCAAGTCTTAGTATGGATTGTTCGCTGCATCTATGTGTGTACATATTATTATATGTCGATATAATATCATATTCGCATATACTTACGCATTTATTTGTTTACATATATCTGTACATACATCTATATATATATATACAGATATGCACTTGTATACGTATACATGTATCTATGCACACACACTAAAGCCAATGAGCATCATCATCATCATCATCACCACCATCATCATCATACTTATCATCACCATCATCATCGTCGTCGTCGGCATTGCAACCGTCATTACCATCATCATCGTCATCATCACCACCATCACCACCATGATTATCATCATCATGGTCTACACACGCATATATACACATATATATATATATATACATATGTAATATGTCTGTCTGACCACCTACCTACCTACCTACTTACCTACCTACCTATCTACCTACCTACCTACCTACCTACCTACCTGCCTACCTACCTACCTACCTACCTACCTACCTACCTACCTACCCATCTGCACCCACCATAGATACACACACACACACACACACGCACAGAGCGAGAGCGAGAGCGAGAGAGAGAGAGAGAGGGATATATATATATATATATGCATACACACACACCCCGCTATATGTGTGCATGTACGTATACGTACACATGCCATGCCATGCCATGCCATGCCATGCCATGCCATGCCATGCCATGCCATGCCATGCCATGCCATGCCATGCCATACCATGCCATACCATCCTTCCATACATACATACATACATACATACATACATACATACATACATTGCATACTTGCACACATGGCATACAATACTATACAATACAAGACAACCAGATATACATACATTCATTCATTCATTCATTCATTCATTCATTCATTCATTCATTCATTAACCCATTCATTCATTCATTCTTTCTTTCTTTCTTTCTTTCTTTCTTTCTTTCTTTCTTTCAATCATTCATTCATTCATTCATTCATTCATTCAATCATTCATCCAAGCATCCATCCTTGCATGCATGCATGCATTCCTGCTTAGATAGGTAGAAATATCTTTGTCTATATCTATATGTATACATGTATACACACATATTCACGCTGGGTCCGTACCAGCCTCGGAACGTTGCCTTATCTTGACTTCTAGGGATTGTACTGGCACCCGCACACCCTGGCCCCGTACTCTTCGTCGTCATCGTGTGTTTCTTCTTGTCGGTCAGGCACAGATCTTTCGATTTCCTTCTATCCCTGGGCATTTGGCCGCCTTCTTCTTTTCGAAGCCGAGTCGACTCACGATGCGCCCCTCGGAGACAAGTTCACGAGAGACGGGGGAAGCTATTCCTGACAGTGTTAACTGTTTCCGTTGCCACATCGTTGCTTGATTCCACGTGTTTGAAAGCCTTCGGGGTTGGAAGTTGGACGAAGTCTCCCCTTCGACGATTGCGAGTTCCGGGCCCTCGGGATCTGGGTTCGCAGTGTTTCATGTTCAAAGCTTTGGGGCTTCAGAGCTTGAGGATGGATTGCCAACGCTCTCCTTGACGTGGTGTTGAGGAATTGCTTTCTCTGCTTCAGCTTGCACCAAAAATGGCGCCGGCTTTCTTCTCAGCCCTCGTCACGGGGGTCGCGAGGCCTAGCATGTGTGCTTTCGGTTCTCTTAAGGGTTTAGGGTCCGTGGTTGACGACCAAGAAAATACAGCGGTTTGGAAAGAGCAAACCTCAACTTGACGCGATGCGGGATGGTAGTATGGATGGTCAGGGGCGTGGGGGTCCCCGGCGGCCGCGACATTACAACCCTGAACCCTGTGGAGCGAATGCGTTTTGACCAGCGTTAATCCTGCTTTGGACCGTATGTGCTGTATACGCTGAAGAAGTCTGAGCTTCTCCAAAGAATCAGACACTGCGCGATCGACAAGGTTCACGCTGGCGGTCATGCACCATGTTCAACTTTGACACATGCCTCCCGAGAGCGTCGTCTCAAGAACGTGAAGTCCAGCATCGGTGAGCAGACCCTCGCCTGGTTCGGGAACTACATGTCCACGTTCAACGTGATGAGCCGAGACAAGCACATTTTCTACGTTCTCCTTTATGTCATGAAGCACATATGAAATTAGTTCATGTGCATCGTCTAGCGGTTGAATTTCAGTCCGCTCAGTGAGAAAGCAAAGCGTGCAACATGTACCAGTGCGTGCATTCCTGTGCATGCCACTTCCTGCGACAAGCGGCTGCTTCGTCATCTCTTTCCTCCGGACCTTCCGCACCTCCGAACAGGTGTCCTTCCGCTTCCTTCAGGCGTCGCTATTGGGCGTGGTCAGACGAACGAACACGAGTTCGTGTAAGACTAGACGCTGCCATCACGCTTGCGCATACGGCTGCCTTGCGTGGCGGAGCGGTGTACAGTCAGCAGAGAAGGAGATGACCAGCCTCCTATGATCGCAGCATTGTTGAAATGCATTTGACAGGGGCATCAGCAGATTCATTCCGTCATTGATGCTGTTTTCGCGGCCATGGTACTCAGTGGTGCAAGGGAGCGACGTGGACAGGCGGCTCAGTCCACACCCCAAAACAGAAAGACCTGGTCTATGAATTGCAAGAAATCACAAAGAGAGCAGGTCACCAGTAGGGCGATGTGAGCAGTGTAGGAGGGTCAGACTGGTGTTTGAGTTTTATCTTCTGGGGCTTATCTGAGCCTGATGCTGGGCAGAGTCCGGTGACAACTTCTGTCAGGATGCGCCACTAGCATCATCATGGGTCTTACTACCGAAGGAGTGCTGCAACCGCGGCTTGTTGTTCCTCTAGCATGACATTTGTGCCACAGAGGTCGAAGAAGAAGAAGAAGAAGAATGAGACATGTCGTGGTCGACACCGAGCGTGCTGATTGATAAAATTGAAACCAGTACCTTAACATGTCAGCATATTTTTCTGCTAAGGGCATGACCTCAGACACTGCTTCGCCGTGCAAACGTCAAATGTAACCCCACACATTGTATGCACGTACAATGTTAAGGATGCATTAAACACTCGAGATTAAGCAATATTTCTTCGAAATCACCGCATCATGCTTTCAAAACCGAAACCTAAACATTCACGCTCAGGCCTTCCGGGCTCGTATTGAAGAATGACTTCTTGAACCCGAAATCCTGAACTTGTAAGCTTAAACCTTGGCAACCCCAAACCCCAAAGCCTCAGGCTTTTCTCAGCTCTCCATGTGCTGCATACCAGCGAAGTGCGACTCCCACCACAGGCCGGGGCAGAGCTGAAGGCTGGTTCAGGATGACTGTAATGTGTTCTTCAGGATTTAGGGTTTAGCATTCGCTGCTCCGGCTTCGTAAATTTGCGACTTGGGCTCCAAACGGGTTTCGACAAGGGTTCAGGATTTTGGGCGTTTGGGTTTAGGATTTAGGGTTCAGGGTTATAATGGGTTCATGCACAGCCCCAGGCATTCCTTAGACCTTCCAGTTTCCATGGTCTTATGCGCCATCCGGAAATACCCACAGGTAGAGATGCTGCTGGGTCTACAGCTTGAGGATTTTACATGAGGTTTAGAAAACCATACGACCCTTGAAACCAAAAACCCTTGAAAGCCTCAACCGTTCGATTCAAAACGCCAAACATAACATGGGAAACCTGTATATAAGGGCTCCCTTCAAAGAACCTGTATATCATTTTTTGGACGAAGCCTTGTAGCGTGAAAAGTCCTGAACCTTGACCCGCATGGGAACCCTTAAGAACCCTTGTAGGGACCGGTAGAGGCTTGGAGCCCGTAGCCAGGAAGTGGCCACCCTCGTTTGGTCTTCGGCCATGCTCAGTGCAAGCAGCTCGAAGTGACAGCTGATGTTTGAAAAAGTGAATACGGTTTACGGTATCTGTAGCACATTCAGTTCCAGTATTCTCTGGTTAAGTTCGTTACTCCGGTACCGAATATCTACCCATCACATAATATTAAGAAATATCTTGGCCTGTGAACACGGAAATCTTGGGACCGGTTCCCGATGGACTTAGGCAACTTTTGCCTTTGTCCACGACGCGCATGGCAATGCCAGGACTGCGTTCGCGGACAGATTCGCGGACTAAGGCACGTGTGCCATTGTCCACGAAGCGTGTGGGGGTGCGAGGGACCAGTTCGCGGCCAGATTCGTGGACCAAGGCACATTGTGCCTTTGTCCACGAACCTTGTGGGAATACGGTGTCCAGTTAATGACCAGATTCGTGGACGAATGCAAAACTCGAGGAAATTTGCAGACAAGAGGGGCCTGCGTCTTGCGTCTCCAGCATCCGTGAGGGTCTGCGGTTGGGGTTGCCGTCTTATGCCGTCTTGGTGTCGACGTGCAACACATTCGGGTATGGGCGTACAGGCCAGCTGAATATCCAGACCTGATGGGCATCGTCCCTCGTCCACGCTGGACATGATGCAGGGCTCACAGCGCATGACTGGCTGAAGGTCCAGCATATAGGTACGTACATACATACATACACACATGCATGCATGCATGCATGCATACATACATATATGTTTGGCTTAAGCTGGGTCTCTTGGGTTTCCAACACATGGCATTCTGCACATTCCCAGGTAACCCTTTGTTCTCCAAGCTGCTGTGCGAGCAAGCTCTGAGTCAGATGCTGCTTGGAGTTAGCATGGCTTAGCGGGGTGGCGGATCCAAACGAATCTAAGCCGAGACTCCGAAACTCGAACGTGGCTGTAAAGTCAAGAACTGGTCAAGCAACACCACATTCCCTCGCTGGTCTAGTCGGCAGACTATGTACAAAGGTATGATTCAAAGTCTGGCTCTGGTCTTTACAGTCAGACACGCTCATTGGCTGCACTGGCCACTAACCTCTGAAACCACGCCGTGACACGATCACCCCAATGTCAGACTAGCATGAACCCTCGGGTGGGCTTCGACATGCAGGTCCATCTATTGAGTGTTTTGTCAGGGTTTGAAGGTTCCGGCTAGATGGATTCTAGTGTAGTATTGAAGGCACGGGCCTTCAGCTCCATGGATTGGATGTGGAAGACCAGCGGGCCCGCTTCATCTCGACCAACCCAGGCTGAAGCTTTCCACCTCTACCCCCAGCACACACTCCTCCCAAACCCTCACTGCAGGTGGCAGCTGTTTCAAACTCAGGAGGTTACAGGGATCCTGTTCAGAGACCTGGTGTTTTCTTGCCGGGAGTCCCTGAGACGAAGACGAAGACCGCGGTTCCAAACCTTACATGCTAGATCCGATACCCCGAAGACCTTTAGCGCCTACGTCAGAACCGAAATCCCAGCGCCCAGGCTTGGATTCTCGCCGGAGGACCTGCTACTTCTGGCCTGGGGCGCGGCGGCCAGCGCCGTGCCTTTCAATGGCTGCCGGTTAGGGGCAATGACCGGTTGTGCTGTTTTCTTTTGAGAGGGGGGGGGGCTCGTCACCCTCGTCACCGTCAGATTTCCGTGATTTAGAATGCACCTTCTCCCAAGCGGTTGAAGTTTCTGTTCGAGACACTTCCACCTCTACGGCATGAGCTGATGTGGGGTACACGAACCCCAAATCCAGGCCAATTGACTGTGTCAGAGAACAGTACCCTGTGCACCTGAAGCATTAGGATTCGTGCTGCAAGAACCCGCCATGGAAGAACATCTGTTCTGGCAATTCTGAAAAACCCGACCTCAATCTGACCAAAGCCTTAGCAGGCTCCTCTTCAAGGCTATTCTCATGATCTAGGAGGCTCATGTAGACAAATTCGGTTCGTGTCGGGGTTCTTAACTTTTCTCTCGACATGTTTGACCGGATATTGCCAGGATTCAGAGCTTGAGGTTTCTGAAGTGGCTTCCGACGTTGCTCCGGATCTCGTAAAGCGAGTACTGGTGATAGCCGTTACAATAAATTTAGATACAGTGATACTAGCATCAGTATTATTGTTCCTAGGAAGACTAGAACTAGTATTAGTACTACTGTAGTAACAGTTAGTAGCACTTGGTATTGGCATTAGCAATCGTAATAGTACTCGTAATAGTAATCGTAATCGTATAAGTAATAGCCTAAGTGCAAGTGATAGCGTTAGTGTTAGTGTTAGTGATATAAAAATACGGTTGTACTGTACTGTATATAATATATGTAGTTTGGGCTTAGATTGAAGAGCTTTGGAGTCTCAAGGGGTTTCAACAGTAGCCCTGGGGACTTGGCGTTTTGGAACTGCCTGGGGCCTAGGTTTGGGGGGGATTCCTGTTCGTGCGATTGTCGGCGTTGAGCTGGGAGTTCTAGATTTCAGATTTGGGGTGTTTTTTGGTGATCAACAAACCTTCGAAACTCGGAGAAAGGGGCACGACATGACCCGAATATAGACTTCTGAGAATGTCCTTGCAACTGAAGTGCAAGACATTTCCTACATACCAAAAGCAACCATCGGAATTCCTACTACTTAGCCTTCACATTGCAGAGGTGCTCTCAACTTTCGGCTGTCGTTGCAGATCGTGGAAGACGCTCTTCTGCAGCTCAATGTCGGTGGCGTCAGGTTGCCGTCATGAGTGAGTGAGGCCACTTTCCAAGACGAGCCGAGGATGTTTAGCGAAGGCTTAGGCTTGCCAAGCCAGCCCCGGAATACGAAGAACCACGGTTCCCAGGCAGTATTAGGGAGACCCCCTAAAAGGGGACACTTCTTAACCCTACTTATGGCTCTCTTAAAGGGGGCCTTATTGAGAGGGTCTACATCCCAAGGGTCCACCTAATCCACTACCTAATCCTAACAGAATCACATTGAACCTCCTTGGGGAGCCACTCCGACACAGCCCAACCTCTAAACGCCAAAGCAGAAACCACCCAGAAAAGGAGACCACGCAACGTCTCGCCGATGATGCTAGCTTCGGGGTGGACCCCCAGGCTGGATTGAAAGGCTGTCAAAGGCTGTGCGGATTTTGATTCAGGTCTTGTTAATAAAGGGGCCTAAATAATTGCCTATAGTATTTTGGGGGTTCCTCATTATTTATAGTATAGTACACCCCCAAACCCAATTCTAATTATTACGGCCCCTACATTACCTTCAAGAGTAAAAGTGTCAGGCTCCCTAAGCCTCAAAAGGAAACGTCAGAGTTCGCGTACCTCGCTTCAGGCCTTCTGGTTTCGAATGTGTCTTGTTTCGGACGCCAGAAGGCGGGACCGATAGCCTGCGGTTGCACCTAAACCCGAGGTGGTGCAGGAGATGGCAGTCTAGGATACGAATACCCTGACCCCCCTTGAAGCTTGCAAGGTTCCAACACTCCAAACTCCGAGCATCCTGCTTAGGGCTAGGGTGTGATATTGAAGCCGGCATTCCAGGCGTCCAGAAAATTGTAGCAGAGAGCAACTTGTAGGCGGGGTTACAAACCATTCTGAGTAGCATCTCTGGTTATCGCGGTTTTTCGGGGTGAGCAACAGGTGAGAACTAGGCGAGGTCCAGACAAGCGGTGGCGCGTAGCTGCCTCCAAAATCCTAAAGCCCTAAACCCTGTGAAATGCTTCAGGATTATATAGGGCTGACAGACGCTTTAAGTTCCCAGTAGACTCATTAGACCATCAGTACCTTGAATCATTGAACCGATGTAACATGTTCAGCCCCCGCAGCCTTCTTCGAGGTCTTGCTGGGAGTCGTCCCACAGATGCAATTCTTCTAGTGCTTGGTTTAGGGCTTGGGAAATCGGTGTCTACCATACGACTACACCCTTTTAACTTTTTCACCCCGAAAAGGCCCGACTGAGGGGTTCAAGCATTTTGCAGTTTCGCCTGTTGCGGCCGCAGGCTCAAAATCCCAAGCCCTTTAACACGAATACCCCGAACCCTATGAAAAACAACAGCTTCGCCTTTCTTCAGCATCTTCCGTTTTTTCACCGAAGGCTTTCGAGGTTTAGTCAGGACGTCCTACGTAGTGTTCAGGGTCGGCAACAACCCTAAATCCAAAACCTGAAACCCTGAAGCCTTGAAGCCCTAAGCCCATGCCCGCCATTGAACAGCCACCAGGGTTAGATCCATGAAAGCTGCATTCCCTGACAATCATCTACATGTATCCAGGCCGAATACTTGGTCCAGTCATTCCTGGGGTTAGTAGAAGGCGTCCGTGGTTCTGGGTTTCGGGCTGTGTGCGCAGGATGCGGATGCACACTTTTGCTGTCAAAAGTGCTGCTTCGAGGTCGGAATGATGTATACAATACAAAGTAAAACCCTGGATACAGTTACATTGACGTGTGCGTGCGTCTGTTCGTGCAGTCGCACTTGTTAGCTTTTCGTGCATGCATGCTTGATTGTTTGCTTGCTTAATGGCTTGCTTTCTTGTGCTTGCTTGCTCGCATGCATGCATGCATACATACATACATAAACACACACACACACACACACAAACATCAAGGTAGAAATGCAGGCAGACAGGTGGGCATGCCTGCATGATGCGTACTGTCTCGCACAATTAGCTGGGTTACGCATCTGCCTATCATCGTAGCTGTGTGTGTGTGTGTACATACACAGATATACTGACAAAAATAACAACAACAATAACAGTTATGATCAATGAGAGTATGCGTGTGTGTATGTATGTATGTGTGTATGTATGTACGTATGTATGTATGTATGTATGTATGTATGTATGTATGTTTGTATTGCATTGTGTTGCACTGTACTGTATTGCATTGTCTTGTATTGTATGTATGTATGTCTGTCTGTCTGTCTGTCTGTCTGTATTTATGTATGTTGGTATTTATGTATGTATGTATGTAAGTATGTATGTATGTATGTATGTATGTATGTATGTATGTATGTGTATGCGAGTATGTCTGTCTATATATATATATATAGATACATGTGTGTGTGTGTGGATGTATACATATACAAACAGATGTACAACCACGGATCATGTGCAGCACATATATGATACACCACAGAGGTACATATAGAGTATATACATATACATATATATGTATATATATCGTTCTTGTTTGTATGTGTATAATTGCTAACAATTACACAGAAGTATACGACATGCCAGATACATGATATGTATGTGTGTGTGTGCGCCTGCATGCTTATGTGTCTGTCGGGTTACATTTGTAACATGCCGGCAGGTCTGTGCAGGAACACTTGTTTGTCTCTCTATCGAACTGTTGCATCATCTTTCCCTTTCAGATCCTACTATTAATAGTAATGATGATAGTACGAGTAATAAGAAGAATTACTAATCGTAGTAAGTTCCTTTCCAGCTCAGGTTTGGGCCTCTCATTTCGCAGGGGTCGCCGGGCCTGGCTTTCGAGCGGCGGTCGCAACGCAGCTCCGCAGGCTTTTTTGCTCGAGTGTGTGCATGTGTGCGTATCGTATCATGTGATTTACGACTTCTGGGTCTGGTTCTAGGCTAGTAGTTGCGACTGCTCACGGCTTCCGCCTACCGCCGGCCACAGCTTGCTGCAAAGGATCAAGTTGCTGCACATGAGCAAGGATGTCCAGCATGCACCCGTGTGGTACCGAGCCAGTTTGGTTGAATTGGAGCTATAGGAACTAATGCTCAGCCAAGTCTCGGGTACACCACATTCCTGGCTCCGTACATGTTCAACCCAAAGCCGGGTAGAGTCATTGCAGAAGTTAGCAGGAAGTATGTCTGCTTCTCTCGTTGCAACAACTTTCAGACCCACTCGCCGCGATTTCCATACTTCAGCTCTACTCCTGACCCTAAGCCCCACTCCCTGCCCCAAGCCCCTACATTGCCGTACATGGTAACTCACGTTGTACATAGAACCATGCCGACCCACGCGCACAACGACACTTCGGTGCTGAGCGATGTGCGGTGAAGCTTGGCTGAATCGTTTAGCTGTGTACTATGCTGTTTTATTACTAACTTTTGTTATGTAGGTAGTAGTACCAAGAGCAGGAGCAGGAGATTCAGTGTTTGATTCGTGTCGACGATCTAGTGTACTTTGTGGCGCTGTCGACACCCAATCCCAATTCTTGAGCATCTCCTCCCCCCCGTCCTGGCATACCCTCATCCCCAAACCCTGCCCTAAACCCTTGAATCCTCAAACCCTAAAGCCCAAAGATCACCTCGCGCAGCCAGGCAGCGGTTTGAATGCCGTGGTTGCCACGCGAGCGTCTCCTGTACATAGCTTCCTGGATAGTGAGGTCGAAGCACAGGAGGTGCGGGAAGATTTCAACTGCTGGTTGTGTGCATGGCATGTGCGATATCTGTTAGGCTTTGTTTTCAGGTCTTAGTGTAGGCCTTGGCTTTTGGCTTTAGGCTGGTGTTGATGTGAGTCTAGAGTCTAGAGCGCAAGTTTGGAGGTCTTGGCTTAGAGGTGAGGGCGTGTGCCAGTGCGTACCGTTGGCATTTGAGCATAAGCTGTCCAGTTAGTGGACTAGGCTAGTCGGTTTACAGTATCTTAAAGACCTGTAATGTGTTTGTTCGTTTCCCCGGAACATGCGAGTCTGGTGCAAGGGTGTTGAGCAGAGGGCGAAGGCAGTCAGGAATGGGTCTGGGCTGGGTGTGGGCATGTTCGAGTTGCTTCGTCTTGGCTGTTTTAGGGATTTGTTGATGGGATTGCCCCTGCAGCTTGCCTGCAGGAGCCACTACAGCCGGCGTTTTCTGGGCGGATCTGGTTCTTTGGCCTGGGCGTCCTCCTGAATGTTCTGTTAAGCGGCGCGTTGATCCTGGGATGCACACCCTTCCAGGACGCCTTAGTGCGGCGGTACGGCTACTCCACCGCTGATGCTGGGTGCTAAAGTCTTACTTGTTTTCTTCCCTGTTTGTATATATATATATATATATAGAGGAAACCCGGAACGGTAGAACTGATCAAGGCGGTTGTAAATAAGACCTTTGACGAGATTCTCTGTTCCCAGGATGCGACCACCATTTGGGGCAACGGCTTTCAGAGTCTGCGCCGCATTTTTGGCTGCTGCTTTAGGGGCAGAGCCCCCGTCTTAAAACTCTCCGTAGCTTTCTACTGGTTTCTCGTCGACAGGCACAAGACCGTAAGCCTAAAATTACCCACAGGCCCTAAAGTAGTTCCTTTTCGGGGTTCATATATAGTCTTCTATAAGGTAACCCCAACAAAAGGAACTGCTGTGGGGCCTGTGGGTAGAGCCCAGGATCCTGGTCATGGGCACCGCTCTGACGTCTCCCATCCTGGACGTTATCGGGCCCAGGTAGGGGGACGAAAAATTTTACCTATACTATTTTGGGGGCTCCTTATTGATAGACCCCCCAAAATCCTATTCTGATTCTTAAGGCCCCTACAGGTGGTTTGCAGCCATCGGCTTAAGCTCTGAGTGTGTCGGCCTGGGAGTCCTGGCGCACACGGCCTCCTACGACCATGGGGTCCTGATCCTCTCTTTCGCCTATGGCCTCGTGGGCCTGGGAGGAAATATGCTGATGCTGTCCAGTATGCCCTTCTGCCAGCTGTTTCAGCGCAGTAGCACCGCAGCCTCCATCATGATGGGCGCCTATCAGGCCATTTCGTCTCAGGGGACTTGAGACGTGGATGGCGCCATAAACTTCTCTAAGTGAGCAAACCTTGGGCGGTTACGATTTCCAAAGCGAAATGGTGGCTTCCTGTTCAGGTGACGGTAAGCCCTTTTAACGCCCCATACAAGACCCAAGAGATTGAAACCTCAAAAGCCCTAGAACCCTCAGCTTCTAAACCGACAAGAAACCCTGAACTCCAAAGCCGAAAAGCCGCAAATACTGCAGGGAAGATGCAGTTTTCTCGGCCAGGCAGCTGGCTTCGTGTTCATGTTGCTTACTCTGGAGGCCTTTGAGTCTTGGCGTCTCGAAGAGGGTTTGGGGTTTACTAAATGCTGAACCTCAAACCCTAATCCCGGAACCCGGTTGTCTTGGGCTCAGAAGGTTCTATGTTGGAGGCTTTGGAGACAATGTTTAACGAAGCTCAAGGGTCTGAGGTTTTGGGTCTTCGGGGCCTAGGGTTCCACGACAACGCCACACCACCACGACAACTACTACTGCTACTACTGCT